ATTATTTAACTAATTTATAATTAAAAAAATGCTAATAAATTAATTTATGGCTTACAATATTATTTTTTGATGTGGGTTTATTGTAAGTTTTTATGATTTAAAATTAGAAGGTTTGTTACTAAGAAATTACAACAAGATATATGAACTCGAACAACATTTAAAAAATAGGGTTTGTCCACATTTTCAACTGAAGAAAGTTCTTAGTGTTTTTGTTGATGCTTTCTTGAGCGAGCTAGTAACGTGCTTCGATTAACAAATTCAAATAATTAAATATTGAGTTTTTGTTATGTATGTACATGACCATGCATATATAATTAAATTGAAACATCAGTATTAAATAGTTTGTTTTAGAGAACAAATCCGAAATTTAACCGTACTACATGAAATACCATTCTTACTCACTCATGAATTAATGAGTATGCCAAGATTTGACTTCTCAACTAACTTATGAATAAATGAAATAATATTGTGCTTGCAAACAAAATATTTCAACTAACTGTTTTCTAGGCTCACGACTTTTTTCAAATGAAATTGATTTCAGAATCTCGGTGTTGGATTTAGAAAGATCCGCACCAGCCACCAAATCTGCATTTAAATGGATCTGGGCTTAATTTGACGGGTCAGAAAAAACGTGGACTTGGAACCCGCTTTGACATGTCTTTTTTTAATAAGCGTTAAGATTCAAACAAGGATTGATAACTAGTGATGCCCAACCCGGCCTGGCCCTGCCCAGGGCCGTCGGAGTATCGGAACCGGGACCAGTAAGGACTAGTTATAAGACCGAAAATCAAGACCGGTTCATGATTTGGAGGGTTTCGCAAGACCAGGACCGATTGAAATTCAATAAATTCATATGGATCCGATCCAATTCAATTTAATCATCCATTGGATGTTGGATTTTGTCATCCGATCCAATCAAACTAATATTGGATATCCGATCCAATCAAATCCAATTAATGATTGGATCAGATCGGTTCCATCAATTGAATATTCTTATTGGTTATCTATTCGATCGAATGGATAAATCCAATATTTTGAGGCAAATTTCAACCAATTAATCCAACATTTCAACCAATTATTCATATATTTTCTTAAGTTATTAAAAAATAATACCATAAAATGTTAATAATTATATATAATTACTTATTGGATAGTAGTTGGATACCAATTGGATGGTCATCATTGGATCGTTCAATTTGATTAGATGTTGGACTGCCATCCAAGAACTAAAAGATCCGATGTGAATGTTGAAATTTTGGATCTGATCTAATCTAATTACAATTAGAGATCAATTATGGTCAGTCATTTTAAATTGAATCGGATGACTTTTTGCACACCCTAAACAAAGTGCTTCAAAGTTGTCATGGGTAGTGATGTGGGTGTCACGGGTTCGACAACTGCCTCGTTTTATAGCCCTTGCATTGTCTTGGGTTGCGGTTCGCTTTGGTGCTCGGGTATTTGAGGGTTGTGTTTCGTTTACTCTTCAGTCTTTACGGTTCCATTCTTTTATTACCGTAGTTTTTTTCTTTGGGTGTTTGTTTTGACTTGCTGGGTCTACGCTTACCAATCCTTTTGACTTTCTCTTGTTTCCCGTTTGTTCTCTTTCAAAAATGTCAAACACCCTTACAAACACATATTTTCTCATTTATTGATAAATTATTACGACATAATATCAAAAAGCAATTTAAAACCAGTTGTACACAAAGAAATACAATTAACAAGCATTCACTTTCTCAAAGAATGGTGCAACGCCTACTTGGATTTGAATTATCATCGTTACAACTTGTAGACAATCCATAGTATTCCGGTGGATACCCATAAACCAGCACTTCATCAGCCGTTGCCGGAAACAATGGTGGTGCCGATGGTTCGGTGGTGGTTCGTGGCCGCAGAGGATAAAACTCAGCATCTTCATTATAAACACTACTAATTCCTTCTACTCGTTGATTGAAGTTGAGTCTGAATGAATTTGAATTCAGATCCCCGACCAACTCGATGCTATTCAATCCCTCGGCCTGAGACACTCTGATCAAGGCTTCGGCTAAATCTTGAACGTTAATTGCACCTTGAGGAGGTCGGGTTCCTTCAGACAAAATGACGATTTGTTTCTTCGTTTTACGTTCCAAAGCGTCTTTGATTACTTCAGGGTGTTTAGCAGTTGAAAGTGTGACAATTCCACTCTCGGCGTCGAATTCCACCAATTCAACACCGCCAATTTGATGAACTATGATCCCCACCTTTCGTATGCAACCTTCGCAGTTATGGAACCCAAGGATCCGTAGAATAATTGTTATCGGACTCATCTCAAAATTACGCGCGTGTGTGTGTATATATCAAGTATTAATACAATCGAATGTATTGTTGGCATACATCCTTAACCGGCCGGCAGGAGAGAGATGGCTTCACCGGAGATTGAATTCACGAGCATATGGGATTGATTTTACGTTGGGTCTGATTGTACGAATGAATTAAATATATAGTTATAGACCTTTTAGTCTTTTTTTAATTGTTTTACTTGTTCCTTTTTTTGGACAAACGACCAAGTTAACGTTTAAAACATACTTTTATTTTTTGAATAATTAAAAATATAAAATATTTAATCAAAATTTGATGAAAAATCATGGATGAGAATGTGGATTAGATACGATGAAGATTGATGTCTTAGGGGCTGTTTGTTTGGCTCTTAATGGTTACATTAAAAGTCAACTTCTTAATCGGTAAGAGGTTAGGTCTGTTTGGCAAAAAAAAACAACCCTCTTAATGGTTACAATAACCTCTTAACCATTTTGCATCTACTACCTCACTCAACCATTCAGATCGTTCTTTTTCCAATTTTACCCTTCCCACCCCTTCTTCCCATCTGGTCTCTTCACGCAGGTCGCAGAACTACCGGTCACCATCGCCAACTTCGCCGGTCGCCATCGCCATCGCCGATCACCTCCACAGCTTCGCCGGTCGCCATCAAATCCTTATCCAGAAACCAGATATGAGGAGCGAACAAAGTGGTAGCAACCAGCGACGAATCACATGTTCGAATCACAGGGACGAAATCGAGGGAAAGAACTGGAAAGGAGGGAGATCGAAATGAAAACAGAAACCGGATGGGAAAGGAGATCGACTGGATTTGATCTCGATTTGGGTTGACATCGATTTGGAGGCGCATGAACCGGATGCGTAAGAAGCCGATATGAACCTGAGGCTGCAGTGATTGTGAAGTGATCCATCTGTGACCTCCTACTGCTCTAATTGTGAAGATCGGAACCCTAAGATCGTGAAGTGAAACCCTAATTTCTTTTTTGGTATCTGTTAGTTCAATAAAAAACAGGACCAATGCATACAGGGTTAAAATGGTAATTTGTTAACATTTACCAAACAACAATATTTCATTCAGCACTTAACCATTCTGACCCTCTTAACCATTCTGACCACTTAGCCATTCTGCACCAAACCATTCAGCAACTGCCAAACAGCCCCTAATTGTTTATAGTTTAGGGACTAGATATGAAGGTTACATTTGCTGTAGATCATGATTGCTTGTTGAAAAGACAAACATACCCCTGATGTAAAGCGCACTCTAGGCAACTAATCGAGGGGAAATGGACGAGAGTTAGGGGCCGTTTACGAAACGCTTACCTGAGTAAGAGCGTATCAAGTCACATTACCTTAGCGGATGAATATGGTAAGGACCAATAATCTTACGCGGTAAGAGAGAGGTAAGGACAAGAGTCCTACCCGGTAAGTGAGGCCGATGACTCTTACTACGGTAAGCGCTTACCCGGTAAATTGTTGCATATAATGTCAGTTTTGTGAATTAAAATCGTACTCGTTAAGTAAATGATAATGTTAAATTTTACCGGTAAGCGTTTACCGGTTAAGTATTCGGTAAACGGCCCTTTAATGTGATTGTATAAGGATCGACTTTACAAACAAATAAAAACTTCAAGGTTTAAATCGATAATTATTTTGTTTTACAGATATGTAATGCTTATAAAAGAAAGAAACTGTATGTACAATAACCATCGATGACACAATTAGAATTCTAGTAATGCAGTATCGTTTATATGTTTTTTTTAGAAAAAAATTTGTTAACAGAAGAAAATAACCAAAACTTATATCTGTATTTCTTCTTTTAATTCTTTGTGTTAGTATTCCGAAATAAAAATAAACATACAAAAACAGATAAATAAGTAATGAAGGGGAACTATGTGAATTAAATATGGACAATATGAAACACGATAAAACCTCATGATTCATGTCGAAAATGTAATATCAAGTTGTTCGGACTATAAATGACATCATTTTCGAACATCATTTAAATACAAGATTAGATATGCCCACTAAACTTTCATCCCGCTTTATAGCTTTCGTCTGATAGGCCCCTTTCATTATTTTTATTCATCCATTGCTTTGAAGTACAATGACCATTAGATTTGTTTGATATGTGTTTTACTTATTCAACAGATATTGCACATTATAATATGTTATTGTTCAGTAAAATATCAATCGTTTTTAACGTGTGTCTGCTTTCACCTGCATAACTTTTGTTTAGTTATTTTAACATCCGGATTTATATGGTTGAATAATTCCATCAGCAACCACAACATAGATTTGTTTGATATTTGTCAAATTCCAACTTCATAACTAGCAAACACCACAATGTAATTTAAACTTGCAAGAAACGGATTTTGTAGAGCACCGTAACAACAAATGACGTGATGAACGAAAAGCAAAATTAATAGAATAAGATAGAGTTATGTGGTCCACAACTGGATTTAGTAGTTGTATAATGTATACTAATGTTTTGAATAACGATCATGAACCACATTCGACAATGGCTCACGTTGTGATAGAATTCTTATGAAATTACATTGTCCCGCACAAAATATGCTCAAGCGATCCTACACTTCAGTATCATTTGTGCTACAGCTTTTAAAATTTATGTTAAAATAATAAGATTTAAATTAAACAAAAATAATGTAAAGTACAGAACCTTAACAAAAAGAAAATATGGTTTGACACAAGATATTTCCATGCAAATAATTAATTTGTTGATTTGAATAGGTAAACATATTTTGGACTTAAGTAGAAGTGATCATACAGTAGCCTTTAAATAGCAACCAAAACCATCCAAATAGAAGCCTGCACGGCCATAGAACCCTGCAAATGAACCTGCATCCCAAGATACGGAAAAAGGGGTCTCTGTTTCCTTACCAAAAGGCCCAAAATTCCTCTTTTTGTTTGTCACAAAACACAACGATGAGATTACCATATAATTTGCATAACATCCGGTAGTTATTCCAACTGTTCCACGTATTTCAGTTATTTCTTCATCGACATCCAAACAAATCTACAAAAACCAGCAATAATCATGTTGTTAGTGGATCCATTTTCGTCACAACTTAAATAATATAAATAACATCATGTAATATGGTAAAATATTCTTGTAATGTTTTTTAACATTTTCAAATTGACCAAAATTATAGAATAAGATTTGCCACCTCGGAAATTGTGCCACCGCTCCAGCCGCCACTACCACCATGGCGTAGAGAATAACTCGACGAACCACTAAAAACTTCGATTGTAAAACCGATCGAATAAATCCAATCCTCATGGTCTATCGTTATCTTCTTAAGTTTTTTATTGCTTTCAAGTTGCAACGACCATGGAGATCCACCTGTACTCGATCCCCATAACCCGATTTGTGTGATTCTTCGAGGAAGGGAACCATGGTTTGGATCAAGTTCGAGCTTGGCAAAGGCAGTGACGAGGTTGGTAGTGGTGGCGGTGTTGATGGTGATTTGCTTTGCCAAATTTTCAATTTGGGTAGAGTTTGAGGTGGAGGCAGCAAGGATCTTGGCAAGGCTATCGACTATGGCGGCCATAGACTCCTCCAAAGATGATGGATCGCGTTTGGGAGGCATGGAAAAGCAGTGAAAGCACCAATATTAATAACCCGATTCGAGATGGGTTGTCTCCCAAGAAATATATGGAAGGAAGAGAAAGGCTTGTCCAAAAGAACATGTGTATGACTTATTGACCAAGCATCGATAAAAGAAAAATAATGATGTCCGCTTTATTTATTCTAAACTAAAAATGACCAAGTCTCGGGAAGCCGGCATGAGGTTCAAATCCGGGTTTGTATTAATTGTTGTGTGTCCCAACTCTTTGCCATTTGCACAAATCCAAGTTCGTATTATTGAGACATTTTCTAGAAGTGACCTTTTAATAAGCTCTTAAAATATATATTTTAACTATACCTTTTTTTTCTTTTGACCCAAAAAAAACTCTATATTTCTTTAAAAAAATCAAGTACATTTTATTATACTTTAGTCATGGTAACATTTGAAACCATGTCATAAAATGCGAGAAATGCATAATAATAAAAATGATATGGAATAAAATAAAGGTCCATTAAACCTAAATAACAGAAAAACATTTCATTAGATTACAAATGATTTTAATATGATAAAGTATGTTAATCTTATGTTTTATTATACTAGAAGAGTACTCGCACAATACAGCGAGATACATCTTGATTTTAATATTTCATTTTATTCTTTATCTCAGTTGATGTTACAGTATGGTCTTATGTGATTTTGAAAAAACGATTATGTTTTTATTTTGAATAAAATATAAATTTAAATATATCATAAAATTTGACAAAAATATATCGATATTAATATCAAATTAACTATTTAAAATTCATATTTTTTGTGTAATTTTTTAATTCAGTTTTTTTTTATTATAATTTAGTTTAGGTTCAATAATGAAGTAATTTATATTTGGTTTAATAATATAATTTTCTTATAAAGATAATAATTAATTATTTAGTTAGAACTCGATAATTATCATAATTATATTTCAGATTTTTTATATTTATCCTCTATTTGATTATATTTATTTGCAGTTACTTACACGAATTAAAACATGGAGTTCTAATAAGTTGTATTTATGCATAACTTATTAGTAATCTTGAATTTTAAGTAATATGCATCAATAAACAATACTTCATATATAAAAAATGGTTTTAAGAGTTTTTATCAAATATTTTATAATATATTATAGATAATATAATATTAAAATTGAGTAATTAAACATTTTTTTATTTTATATTTATCAACTAGTTTTTAAGTGATAGCGGTGTTTAGACCATTATTATACCACAAAATCTACACCAAAAATGTTTGGATCTTCCCCAATTTGAGTTTGCAACTTGGCAAAACAGGCAATTGGAGTTTTGCTAGGTGGACATTTTGCCCCCCCATACCTTACAAATCTTACACATTTAACCCTGCTATCGACATTTTCCTTTGTGTAAGTCCAATTTTATCATTTTGATCTTAAAAATAACACACACACACACACAAAAAATGTAAAACTGTTTGAAATAAATATATAAAAATTTAAAAAAAAAATTCATCATTTCAAACATAAAAATGAATTGTAATAATTTGCTGACTTCAATATTAGTTGGTGAAAAATGATATATGTTTTACTAAAAAATAGCAATATAATTTTTAATTCTATTTTATAAGATATTTTTTAATACTTTCTATTACAATATTGTATATTTAAATTACTTGTTAAAATATTATATTCTAAAAAATAATATATATTATAGCAATTAGGAGTTTTTTTTGACTAAGGATCCAACAAATAGGAGCTTTGAAATTTTTTTGGTAGTTTAAAAAAAATTAATTGATTAAAAATATGGGGATGTTTGACAGTTGTTGAATGATTTGATGCAGAATGATTAAGTAGTCAGAATGATTAAGAAACTTTCATAATATAGTGCAATATGAAATATAATTATTTGGTAATTGTTTACAATGAAATTAGGCGTTGAATGGTTAAAGAAAACCCAAAATACAAAATCATTTAGAGGTTTTTGTCAAACAAGATTCACCTCTTAGCGATTCAAAGGTTGCCTCTTAATGAAACTATTAAAAGGTAAACAAACAACTCTTAACTTTTAGTTCCATCTCAATTTGAGTTTCTACAATATCAATAGACAATTTATATAGAGTAATTTTTTTAGCAAATTATTACTCGTTTTATAGCTATTTGCTTGTTGTAAGGTTGTAAGGTTGTAGAGAAGTGTACTTGTTAATCACTAGTCATAACCTTTATGGGTTAAGTATTTGTGTGGGTGAAAAAACATTTCATGGGGAGTCCTCCGTATTCCACAAGCTTTTAATTGTAATCAAATGAGAAGAGTGGGATTGAGAGATCAATTTTCTAAGAGGATGTTTGGTTCACATAATAGAATTGAAATCCATTAAAGAAATTTGACTTTGAAAAAATAGGAATGAAATTTGGCCACGCATTTGGTTGGTAGAAATTGGAATGAAATATCTCAAAAGAATTAGAACAATCGTCTTTATTTAGAATATCTCACTCATCTCCCTGCCCACACCCTATCAACCACCATGTCACACTACTATCACCCCTACCTACCTGCCCCACCACCCCAACCCTGCCTCCACCACTCCTGCCCCACCCATGCTCCATAGGTGGGGTTGTTAGCGCAGGAAGGGCAAGGCGGTAGGGTCAGAGTGTGATGACAACAGTAGTGGCATGACAGTTAGTGGTGGGGTAGGTAAGGTAGGTGGGTGGGTGGATGGGTGGGTGGGATGAGTGGTGGCGATAGTACCGGTGTCGTGGTGGGTGGTGACGGAATTCAATTCTTTTCATTATATCAAAGAATGATTGATTCATTAATTTGTGGAATTTAAAGGATTTCATCTATTTCAAGAAATGAACCAAACAAAGAAATTGGAATTTGGTCAAAATAATTTGCCATTCCAATTCCACCCTTAAGAAAGAAAAAGATGCCTTAAGAACTAGGGTCTTACAATTATCTTTAGACAAACTTTTATTTTCACCTAAAAATATAAATCAAAACTAATCATTGTCTTACATCATGTAACGAATTTGAATACATTTTTCTAGGAAATAAAAATATATAACAATAGAAAAATCTTTAAAATTCATATACATATGTTATCGTATTATATTATACAGCCCTAAGGATATTATAATAAAATAGAGTTATAAATCATATATTCCTACTACGTGCAAGTTACAAGAGAATTTTTTATTGTATTTGTTATTAATAGGTTTATATTCATATTATAACACGATCATATGCATTTTATATATTGACGTATATTATACTCATGAATATGTCAATATTTGTGTAATGTTACGTATTGATGCATAAAATGTTATATAACAGTTTTAGTATTGAATTTTATTTTTGATAATAAAATCATATTGTCACCATAGAAATACAAAATATGTTGATTTGAAAGTTAATTCGTTGGAATTAAATAGAAGCTTTCATATGGTAGCCTTTAAGAAACAACCAAAACCATCCAAGTAAAACCCTGCACGACCATAAAATCCTGCAAACGAACCTACATCCCAAGGTACCGAAAAAGGAACCCCTATTTCTTTACCGAAAGGCCCATCCCTCTTTTTGTTCGTCACAAAACATAACGACGAAATTACCATATAATTTGCATAGCGTCCGGTGGTTCTTCCAACTGTTCCATGAATTTCAGTTATCTCTTCATCCATATCAAAATTAATCTACAAAAACCATCAATAATCGTGTTGTTAGTGGATCCATTTTCAACACAACTTCCATAATATAAATAATAATATGCATTATGTCATATGGTGAAGGCTTTTTTCAATTTATTAATATATTAATTGTCAAAATTACTTTAATATTTTTTAACATTGTAAGGAGTATTTGAGATTGCTTATTTGAAACAACTTATGTTTTAATAACAAAAGCACTTACCAACTTATTATAAGTTAGAAGGGTTCAACTTGTTAAAAAACTTTTTATTACCGGTTTGACATTGATATAAGTTGTTTATCCAAACACTCAAAAATGTTTGTTACTGCTGTCACACCGAAATAAAAAATTAATAAGCTGTTTTTATAAGCAATCTCAAACACCCCTAGATACCGAAAGAATAGAATAAGATTAACCACCTCTGAAATTGTGCCACCGCTAGGGCCGCCGCCACCACCATGACGTTGAGAAGATTCCGACGAACCATTAAAATCTTCGGTCGTAAAACTAATCGAATAAATCCAATCCTCATGATCTATCGTTATCTTTCTAAGTTTCTGATTGCTTTCAAGTTGCAACGACCATGGAGATCCACCTGTGCTCGATCCCCATAACCCGATTCGTGTGATTCTTCGACAACCCTAGCATCAAATCAAATATTAGTTAAAAAGATTGTCATATTATCAGATATCTGATTCAATTTCTCTGTATCGATTACTTACGATCTGAAATTCCAGCGAGATCTGTAGCTGTTCGACAATTAATGGCATAGTTGGGCGTTGTTTTCGATCTGGTTTCAGACATTGATAAGCAATTGAGGAGAACGTTCGCAATGAATTCCACTTCATTTGTTTTCGTATATTAGGAAGAATGATTTCATCTAGTTTTCCCTCCTCGTAACGGAGTTGGGCCAAATGCGGTAGAAACCGACGCTCGTCTTTGTATTCTCCGATCATTGCTAGCCTTCCGCATAAGACTTCAAATAACACCACACCAAAAGAGTAGACGTCAGATTCTTTTGTAAACACACCCGTCGTGACATATACCGGATCGACATAACCAAATGTACCAGCAGCGTTCGTAACAAGAAAAGTGTGCTCCTGATTGGTGGGACCAATTCGCGACAACCCAAAATCAGAAATCTTGGCTTCCCAACTCTCATCTAACAAGACATTGGAGCTCTTTATATCACGATGCAACACCCTATGCCCTTTCCCCGCACCATTATGAAGATAATTGAGTCCAGAAGCAGCACCGAGACATATCTGAAGGCGTTGCACCCATGTGAGATCCGTATCTAGATACTTTTCGAGGCTTCCACGAACCTCATGCTCATAAACGATGATCTTCTCGTCACCCTCATCAGAGAATCCAACAAGCGAGACGAGATTCTGATGTTTGTAACTAGAGAGCATGAAGATCTCCATCAAGTACTCCTGCTCTCCTTGCCCGCCCTTCTCATCTAATCGTTTTACAGCGACGGTTGTTCCTTGGTCGGTAGAGCCGGAGAGGGGAAGTTGGGCTTTGTAAACCCTCCCAAATCCTCCCTTCCCGATGAAGTTATCGTCGGAAAAGTTGTTGGTGGCCGATTTGATAGCTTCAAGTGGGATTTTGAGGTGATCTAGTTCTTGAATATGAGACATGAGGAAAATGCGGACGGTGAGTTGGAGAGAATTATTAGACTGCAACCACTCCCATCGCTTTTTTATGTTTGTTTGGCATATATATAAATTCCTTTTGTCAAATATTCAACATTTAAATTTTCAACTTTTATACTTTGATTAATTTCACGAGACCTACAAGTAAGAATGAAAAATCGTCATTAAACTTAACTTAAAAATACTTAAATTAATTAAGAGCATTCATATTGGTCAAAACTATCAAATTTCCACTAAACAAAAACATTTTTAAATATTTACTCGAATGATCAAGTCTTATAAAAACTTTTTTTAATATTTTTTAATTCATTTTTAATATATATAAATATAAATCTTCGAACACAAGTTATTAGTTAAGCTTTTTATCAAATCTTTATTTTTACCGTTGGAAGCTACACGTACACCTACGTAGAAAAACTTGCAACATCAGGGAGCAATGAAGTATAATGCTCTCCGACCGCAAGCGACGTCGTTTTTGAGGCATCATTTGATTATCAACGGTTAGGTGGAAGCAATTTGCTTCTATCCACATTCATGTACCAGCCGTGAATGGCTAAGATTTGGCCACGTGGATATGTTCCTCCACTCTTCGGATCACGACCGGACAAAATACTACCACCAGTATATTTCGAAATCACATGTAACGATTTTTAAATTTCAATTTTTAGGAAATCATAAATAAAAAAGCATTTATTTATATTTACAAATTTATACATTTTATAGAGGTGGATTGTTATGCAATATTTTACATTTCTACATCTCTTACAGCCAAATCAAAAGTGTCCATTTAATCATCAACAGTTGTCATTTGATCCGTTGTAACTATCCTTAATTAAAAAAATGGATGATGGATAGATGAGTTATATCGATTATCTATACTATATTATAAAGCATTTGACAAAAACTCTTAAACATAACCAATTAGAGGATAAACATCTCATGTTTGAATTCGTGTAACTAACTGTGGATAAACATAACCAATTAGAGAATAAACATCTCATTTTAAAATATAAAAAATCTAAAATATGATTAGGATAATCATCGAGCTCTAACAAAATAATTAATTATTATATTTATAAGAAAGTTATATTATTAAATCAAATATAAATTACATTGTTATTAAACCTAAATTAAATTATAATAACAAAAATTGAATTAGAAAATTACACAAAAAATAGAAATTTTTAATAGTTAATTTGATACTATATCGATATATTTTTGTCAATTTTTTATGATATCTTCAAATTTATATTTTATTCAAAAATAAAAACATTATCGCTTTTTTAAAATCACATAAAACCATACTATAATATCAACTGAGATAAAGAATAAAATAAAATATTAAAATCAACATGTATCTCGCTTCATTCTACGAATACTCTTCTAATATATTCTATAAGAATTGTATTTGAAGGCACGTATTGATTTATAATATCTAAAATTTCATTACATGGATTTAATTTTAAAATATAGATTTGTTTTTTATTTATTTTTAGCAACATATTTTGTGTTGATTACTGTTTTACAAACATATATACAGAAGGGTAATTAGAGGACAACCGTAAAAAGAATCATCTAAGGGTGCGTTTGGTTTGCAGGAATGTTTTTGAGGGATTTGAATTTGCAGGAGGGATTTGGATTCCATGAGATTTAAAATCCATTCATCTGTTTGGTTTGCAGGATTTGGCAAGCAACAAAGATGAACCCAAAAATCCATTAGCCCTTCTTTGTAATACAACAGAGTCACTGTCACTAACACAAATTAGGGAATAAATTGAATAAAACGAGGGCAAAAGATCAAACCTTTCACCTCGTTGTGCAGGGGTCATCCATCGTCTTCAATTTGGACTTCAGTTTGATGCACAAATATCGAAGTAAGTCGCTAGATGGCATCAGATCGAGACCACAATGAACATGGAAAAAAGAAAAACGAAAAAAGAAAAACCCTAGAAAGGATATGATTCATCGTCGATGTGGAAATCCGGCAGAGATGTTTGCGTGGTATGGAAGTGGAGGCAGAGACGACAGTTGAAGACTTGAAGCAAAAGGATGGTTGACCCGATTAGGGCATAGCTTCGCAAGGGGACGGGAAGGGAGCACCGGCGAAGAGGACTGATTAGGGCGGGAAGCTGGGTGAAGGAAGCGGGAAGCGATGGGAGGAAAAGCACTCGACAGGAAGCCGGAAGCCATGGGAGGGATGACTGATTTGCACTCGACTGGAAGCGGTGGATTTCAAATCCTGCCCATTTGCAAAGGATTTCCAAATCCCGCGTGTATGGATTTTAATGAAATCCCAGGATTTCAAATCCTGACAATTTGGCAAACCAAACACAGGATTGGAATAGATTTCAAATCCAAATCCCCCCATTTCATTCCATTTCTGCAAACCAAACGCACCATAAGAATTTTAATTAAATGTCATTAATGGTATTTTTGTAATATTAGGGAAAGAGGTGTCCAATCTCATGTCTGATTTAAAAGTTTGAGAGCAAACTCGTAATTTTACATTTCAAAACTGCATGCTCCGATCCTTCATCTCCATCAACACGAGATGTCTTGCGCCGCCAACATCATCAACCACATCCCTTCTAATTAAATCAAATCCCATAAAGAATCCGGCACCACCGCCACGGACACCAGCATTCCGACGAGATAAAAACATCCCAAATTGATATTCTCCCGGATTCTCGACCTTATCGTCCCTCTCAAAACGCCGCACCCCGTCGTCTACAGGAAGTTTCCTAGTTCGATGATCGGTAAAACCTACGACATCAACACTACTATTTATTTATCTTGAGGTGAACATGACCGCTGATAAGTTTCTCATGCCAATGGCGAAGAATAGAGCTGAAAAACCATCGTCGTCCACTGACCACCACCTTCCATTGCCACCACCACTACCATCTTGGCCACCTCAACCATCTCATCTACTACAACCTCCACCACCTCTACAACCATCGTCAGCCACCGACTAACACCGTTCATCGCCACCACCACTAGTATCGTCGGCCACCACCATAACCATCACCACTACTGCCCTCCATCACACTTACCTCCACCACATAGCCCACAACTACTTGCCTCCAACACTGTCGACCATCACCATTACCACTATCCACCATCTTCACGTCCTCCACAACCACTATCCTCCACCAATTATCAGTGTTTCTACCTCAACGGCCATTGTTGTTGCAATAATTTTTACCGTGTCTTAACCAATTGATAAGGATCATTCGAACCGAATAAAATATAATTTCTCCTTTGTATGGATCGGGTTTTATCAAAATATCAATTATATAAAAAAATTCATTCAAATTTGGCACTATTTTATATTTATGTATATGAAAATTGTGTAAAAAAATTTATAAATGAAACTATTTACTTTATCTGTGTTGATTAAAACTATTATATGATACATAAAATTTAAAAATAACTTTTAGAAACAACTTATCTAGTTCTGTTATGTCCAGTCATATGCTGGGAGTTGGGATGTTTTAAATAAAATCAAAGTTTGGTTATCCAATCTCTTCAATAATATTTTTTTAGGAATTGGGATGTTTTAAATAAAATCAAAGTCATATGTTGTTAAACATAAGCTGAAAGATCCCAGATATGAACACCAACAAAGTTGAGCAGTAGAATGATTAGAAGAGAAAGGAAGGAGAGTTGTTATAGCAATTGTAGTAGAACAAAGTTTATAAGACAATATGTCATTCATTCACTCAAAACATCATCTAATACGGGTTGTAACGGCTACGTCCTCGTCCTCCACTCTCGTTACCACGCCTGTGCCCCCCACCACTTGAACTGCTTCCTCCACCACTACGACCACCACCGCCTCTTTGATGTTGTGGCGGAGGTGGTGGGGTGTGTGGCTGCACACCTGGTTGTTGCCTGTTGTTGCAAAAACAAAAAATATCAACACGTTATTTCTCACAACTCATATACTCATAAACATGATGCAAAACCGCATGTTCTGAAAGAAATAATCCTTACAGGACGTAACCAATCCTTCCGTCAGGCAAAAGCATTGGCATCATAGCCATTCCAGCCGTTGAAGGTCCCCTCCCATAGATAAGAGGCTGCACAATAACAAATTAACGTACACAGATCAACAATCGCGTATGTTAGCCAAATATAATCACTTAATGGTGTCTTCATACCAGCCTCAAGTGAAATGATCAACACAAAACAAAAAGACCATAGAAATGTGCACCTGTCCATAGCCACCACCATAGCCTGCACCCAAAGCACCATATGCACCCCCCATCAAACCATAACCAACACGAGGAGGGTGGCTTGGAAGTAAAGCAGCCTTCTGTGAGTTTGAAGATCCTCCAGATGATTTTTGGTCTGCTTGTGGCTTAGCAAGAGAGCACTCCAATACTTGACCTATACAAATTTGTCAAATTACTTTTTTATTTTTCTGATAAACGGGACGATGTCTTTGATTAGACAGTCGCATAGCATAATAGGTACGAGAGCTCGCATTATTACCATCTAACTCATACTTCTCAGTGTTCTTCAGAGCTTTCATAACACTTGATCTATCTGCAAAATGAACAAAACCAAACCTACTCCTCTCATGACCTGCTTTTGCAGGAGGGAGAACTACTTTCATAATTTTTCCATGGTGCTCAAATATCTTTTCTAACTGCTCTTGAGTCACATTTTTTGGCAAATTCTTCACATATACCGCCTTTACCTGCATAAGAAAGAATGTGAAATATGCTTTGAGTTAACTTAAACAAAAGTTGGAAATTTCTTAACACTTTAAGTTTTGCAGGTAACCAAAATGAAAGCAGGATCTAACTGCAAAAACAAAAATGCAAGTGTAAACAGAACATGTAGATCCATATTAGAAGAGTGAAAAACTCAGCATCGTCACATTACTGACCATCACTGAATTATTGTAAGCATATATCATGTTAAAGATAAATGGAAACAGAATGTGGAAACACGTATTGCATTGTAATTTGATGACTAAAGCACCTGGGAAGAAGCTGAAGACTCGGCATTTTTCGGGTCAGCCCAGCTCACAGTTGGAGCATTATCGTCAAGCTTAAATTTTGGGTTCAACATCTTTTGTCTTGAATACTCTGCACAAGCATGGTTATAATACTCGATGAAAGCAAATCCACGATTCCGCCTAGAGTTTTGTGGATCCTGTAACAGAATAGGCAAAGAAATTAGTTGCTTAATGTTCATCACAAGCAAATATATAATCCAACAAATTAATATCTAAACCTTCAATAGCTCTACAGAATTAATGCCTGGTCCAACCCTGCCGACAACCTTCTCCATGTCCTCCAGTGTCCAATTTTTAGGAACGTTACCAATAAATAACTTATGTTTTGCTTGGGATGTTGAACATTTGATCCTTCTACCCTAAGGTAACAAAGAATCAACAATAATGATGTCAAGAAGCTGAAAATGCAAAACCTTCGATTCAGTGATCATTTGGTGCATCAAAATCATTATTCAGCAACAGCAACTTAGTACTGTTTACAAGAAATTTAGAATTATTGCATAATACCTTCAACTCGCTGTTATTAAGCTCCTTGATGGCAGTAGAAGCCAATTCTTTAGTCCTGAAGGTCACAAAAGCATAGCCTTTATTCTCAGATGCTTCTTTCCCTCTCATTATCCGGACCTGTTATAGGCTAAATAACATCAGATATCTATTCAGTAAAATACTCCTTTAAATGGAGGGACGGAGAGAGAGAGAGCAGTTTACCTCCGTGACTTCTCCAATAGATTCACAAAACTCTCTCAGGTCCTCTTCAGAAGCATCTAGAGGAATTCCACCAAGATATACCTCTGAACCATAAGGAGGAAGGGCAAGAAGTTCAGCATGTTTTTTCTTCAAATCCTCTTCATCCTCAGCTGTTTCCATTTCTTCATCTTGTCCTTTTTGTGCGTCAGTTCCATCTTCAGCATCTGCTTCCTCCTCCTCCTCTTCTTCTTCCTCTTCCTCAACTTCTTCTTCCTCTTCCACCTCTTCCTCTTCTTCTTCCTCCACTTCCTCCTCTACTTCTTCATATTCAACCTCCTCCTCAACTGTCTCCTCAATGTCCCCATCAAAGTCAACCTGCTCTTCTGGTTCAGATGGCTTCTCTATCTTTGACGGCTTTGGAGATTCATCGGACTTGGCAGACACTGCACTTGCCCTTGCCCGTGTCCTTGGCATCTTATATATCTAGGAATAAAAGCTTGAACAGCAACTGGGATAGATACAAAGAAGCGAGAAGCATTTACAGAAGAAAGAAGAGAACAATGGGCAGATTGAAACAAAACGAAAGGGAAAAAGGAGTGGCAAAGTGAGAACAGTGATAGAAATTGTGCCATTAGATATGGCTCAAGGAGTTCAAATGGCAAAATTATGTTCAATAAAGGGATGATAAATATAGTAAACCACTAGCAAAGACAGGAAAGAGAGAATTGTGAAATGGCATTCAAGATTCAAAGGGACGGTGGTGCTCATCAGTTGCAAAATCCGTGAATCAATGAATTCTCAAAATCTAGATTCCAAATGATGTCTGGAAATTTGTATCTAGCTTTTAGATTTACAATATCATGAACAATGCAATTAACAACAAAGCCAAGAGAAGGTGGAAGAGCAAATAATAAGGTTGAGAAATCAAATATACAAGACAATATGTTCATGCATCAGTCCGAGCAACAGCACTTAAAAGTCTGGAAATTATGTCCAGTCAAAGGAGAGCTAAATGGGGTTGTCATCAAAAAAGTTCTAGCTAAGTGCCAGCAAAATTTCTCAAGATCAAGATTAATTTTCCTGTTCCGTAATCTTCCTGCAGCAAGTTAATGCAGGAACTGAGAATATACTCACCAATGAGCAATTCAAAAATGCACAAAAGCAGTGCTTAATATCATATAAGCCAACTAGTACTTCAATCAACACATAACAATGTGAAGAGAATCAAATCAATACATTTGTCCCCTCCATATAACTTTTTAAACATTTTTACATTGCTGAACAATAGATGGAGAAAGGCACAAGTCCTATGCACCACAGTAGGTCTTGCACTAGCAAAATTTACCTATTGACTATAGTAAGATGCATACTTCCACTGGATTTTATTGCAAATATGTTATCTTAAAGCTTGCTTAGACCATCAATCGACACTTTGCATTCTGGATCTTGTCATCTTTTATTACTCTTTTTGTTCACTTCTTTCAACACTTCTACGACCAACTAATTCATCCGGCAACGCATCTTAAAGTGTGATGATGCTCACATTCCTATGGCCATTCCTTTAATACTTCGAGAAAAAACGACTGTAGCTCACCTGAGACAATTGTTCGAAGTCACAATTCACTCAACATGATCATCTTATCTTCACACTAGTGCTCAATGCCGGGTAATAATCCCATGTTACTTGCGCAATAAACTTAAAACTTGGTCACAACAAAATTTTAATATATTACTACTATTGTTTTAGCTTATAACTAAAACTAAATATTACATGCTACACTGCCAGAGCATGAACACGCTAATCAAGAAATTTACACTTGGGTGCATTTGCTAAAGTATAAGAAATATAAAATGACAATAGAAAAGAGAGGCAATTCAATTATACTACCCAACAAATGATATTCTAAAAATTATCACTCATCATTTCATCCTGTCATTGCAATTTGCAAGGGTTTAAACCTTGCTGCTATACTTCAATGCATAAAAAATATATAAAGTGGTGCTCATCGTAAATAATGTCTACAAATTACATAAAAAACACCATAACCCTCCTTGTGCTAATTAGCTATCCTTCAGGTTTTAAATACCTAATTCCGTCATTATCCCGAGTATAAAGACAAACACCAGATCCCTCCCCCCAATTACCTCAGCTGAAAGGCTACCACGATCTCCCTTTAAAAAAAGCAAATAAAAAGACTGGAAATTACGTCCAGTAAAAGGATTGCTAAATGGATTAGTCATAAAAGATTTAGAAAAGTGCCAGCAAAATTTATCAAAATCAAAGACTAATTTTCCTGTTCTGTGATCTCCCTAATGCACATGAACTGCGCTTAATATCTTATAAGCCAACTAGTATTTCAACCAACACATAACAAAGTGTAGGATAATCAGATTTATATATATTTGTGCCCTCCATGGAGTTCAAATATTTTTACACGAACAATAGATAGAGAAGGGCATGTCTCCAATGCATTAAACTAGGTCTTGCACTAGCAACATTTACCTATAATAAAGTGCATACTTCGCCCTTCACACTAGTGCTTAACACTTGGCAATAATCCCTGTCACTTGTGCAGTAACCATAAGAAACTTATTTACCCACTTATTCGTCACAAAACAAAAAAAATACTTGAAAATCGACTGATTACTATTATGGTTTTAGTTGATTACCGAAACCGAACATTTCATGCAGCAATGCCAGAGAAAGAACAAGCAAATCACAAAAATTAAATTCGAGTAATTTAGCTAAAGTCTAGGAAGTGTAGACTGGCCAAGAAAAGAAAGGAAATTTTAATTATGCTACACCAACAAATGACGCTCTCTAAATTATCAGCCATCATTTCATTCTGTCAGTCATTGCAGATCTTTAAAACTTGCAGCGATCCTTCGTTGCATTAAAAAGTGGTGCTCAGTGTAACTCATGCCTACAAATTACGTAAAGAAAATCATAAACCTCATGCTAATTAAATATCCTTCAGCTTTTAAACACCTAATTCAGTCTGCGTCACCACTAGTCCACCATAAGGGCAACACAACAAATGGTCCCCCAACTTCCTCAGCTGAAAGCCTCCCCAATGTTCATTTCAATATCCTTTCAATCATTGGAGATCCTTAACCCTAGCTTCCATTCTTTGTTGCATAGAAAGATATAAAGTGGGGCTCATTGTAACTACTGTCTACAAATTACATACAAACATCATCATACTCCTCCTTTTCTTGTGCTAATTAAATATCCTTCACGTTTTAAACACTTAATTATGCCTCCGTCACCACCATAAGGGCAAAACACCAGATGGCCCCTCAATTTTCTCAAATATAAAGGCGAATGAAAAAGTCAATTGCATTGCTAATATTTATCGAATTGTTGTGTTTTGATGGAAATGATTACAACTATAATCCAAGTTAGGACACTAAACAAAGCTTGAAGGATTATCTGAAGACAAATCTCTCAGCAGATATTAGACTAATAAGAACGCAAGATTACTACCAAAGAAGGGAATGAACGACCGTAAAGAAACTATTAACAAACAAAAATCTAAACAAAACGCACAATAATGAAGAAGATAGCCCTATTTTCGAACATATATCAGCAGTGAATGAGAGGCATAAATTGTAGATAAAATTAAATAAAGAACCAGATCTGGTATATATGACGTTACCTCCGATTGTGTGAAATCAGCGCAGAGCAGAAACCAGACGGAGGGATCGGCGGTGATTTGGTCGGCAGAGAGAAGCGGGGGGAGAGATAGCAGCGGCGCGGATTGTTATCACAAGAGGGTAGGTTTGCAATGTCAGGGCTGACTGCATAAAGCCTCACCAGCCTTAAAATTGAAACAATAAACTAATAAGGAAAGCTTATTCATTAAACCGTATTCACACAACCCCTCAAACCGGGTTCATCAACTTTCAGGCTCCCCTCTGGACCGGAACACATTGGGCCCGGCCTGTTTTTGTTCGGTGAGCATACTCCGCTATTTTGATTGGATTTAATTTATGAACGAGGTTTAAACTTTAGATGTTATGACACAATTTGACCGTTTATCAAATGTTTATTTGGATAAGTGCTTATTAAATCATATTATATTATTGGATGAATATGGTAAAGATCAAGAATTTTACTTGGTAAGAGCGAGACAAAGACCAAGAGTACTAGAAGGGTACTCGCGCAATACAGCGATATCCATCTTGATTTTAATGTTTTATTTTATATTTTGGGAAAATCGATGTTATAATGCGATTTTATATGGTTTTGAGAAAAAGAAAATGTTTTTATTTTTGAATGAAATATAAATTTGAAAATATTGTAAAATTTTGAAAAAAACAACTGATATTAATATCAAATTAACTATTTAAAAGTTCTCGTTTTTGTGTAATTTGTTTAATTCAAAATTTTATTATAATTTAATTGAAGTTCAATAATGAAATTATTTATTTTTGGTTTGATAAAATAATTTTTAAAGATAATAATTAAGTATTTTGTTAGAGCTCAATGATTATTTTAATTGTATTTTAGATTTTTTATATTTAAAATAATATTTATCATGTATTTGATTATGTTTATCTACAGTTAGTTACGCAAATTCAAACATATAACTTTAATAAGATGTATTAATGCACATTCTACTTGTAATCTTGAATTTTAAGTAACGTGCATCAATAAACAGTACTTTTTGCGTAAAAAATGTTTTTAAGAGTTTTTGTCAAATGTTTTATAATATAGTAAAGATAATATATATATATATATATATATATATGGTATATTTCTTTTACAACCTTGTGTATTTGTACAACCCTTGCAACCTAATTAATTGAGATATTTATAGAAATGATGGGAGTTCATTTATTATGATTTGAATATTTATGGAATATGAATAGAGTTCATTAATTATGATTAATAGTTTATCTTAGGAAACAATCAAAACTTCTATAAAATCACTATTCATCAAATGAAATGGACGGTTGAGATTGGGTTGTATTGGTTGCACAAATGTCAAGGGTTGTATAATAACCAACCTCTATATATATATATATATATATA